TTTGCTATGCATTAACTCTTTTGTCCTAATCATTAGGACCTAATGGAAATACTGAGAATAGTTCTGAAATAGGCTGCTGGGGAGATGCGATTCTACTGAATGAAATGAAAATCTGGCATGGCATTATTCTTTGAATTCTATAAGGGAGGTGTCCTTATTCATAAATGGAAATAAGAGGTTATATTGTCTTTAATAAGCAGAGTAAACAATCCTTTCTCCATTGGTTTCTAGATTTCTGTGAATTCCTAACTACTGGACCCTGATCCTGGGGCAATGCAAGAGAACTCATGAATAACAATCTGAACAAACAAATATAAGTAAACTTCCAGTCAAACCATTAAGAGGGAAACCTCAACAGCAAGATCATTTTCCAAGTGTGTGAGGCTTCAGAGAGTGGGAAAAGATCCAGTGAGCTTTTCTGAGGGCACTCTATTTAGTATTCAGTATTCGGCTTATTAACCTGGCAGTCGTGTCTTTCTGACTTGAATAGTTTTGTGAGTTAAGGATAGTTTACAACTTTTCTGACTCTTGCAGGTGACTCATTCATCAGATGGCCTTTCTATACCAGCCACGTGTTTCCCACTCCTCTTCCTCCTACTTCATGTGACATTGCACATTCCACATTTTAGCTCATTGAGCATAAGAAATAGGCAAGGCACATGCGGTGACCATAGCTACAAGGCCCCTGTGGCAGACACTGTTGGCTGTCTTCCCAAGGTCATACCAACTTTCCCGGCTTCCTTGCTGGCGTGTCTGTCTCCCACAGCAGAGACAAAAAATGCCAAGTACTCGCATTCTCAGCCTCCCTGGTGACCTTAATTCTGGCCAGTGATGTAAAGGAAAGTCTGCTTGGAATTTATGAGAAAGAAGAAAAGAAAGAAAGGTTTGTCCTCACTCCCCATCTGCTGCCTTTCTGTTTTTAATGTGATTGTGTGAAGATGTGATGCTCAGAACCCAGGAGGCCATGTTGGGACAATGAAGGTCAAGATCAAGAAATTGCAGTGCTGGCCGGGTAGCTCAGTTGGTTAGCGTGGATATGCCAAGGTTGTGGGTTCGATCCCTGGTCAGGGCACATACAAGAATCAACCAATGAGTGCATAAATAAGTGAATAACAAATCAATATTTGTCTCTCTCACCAATCTCTCTCTCTCTCATAATCAATTAAAAAACAAGATCAAGAAACTGCAGAAAAAACAGTGAAGTGAAATAGAGTTTGCCACCCCAAAGTAAGCCTCTTTGCAATATTGATTATTTTGAGCTGATCAATTTTAACAAACGGCAGACATGGGCGAAGCTCTGAAAACTAAGTACAAGTAATCCTTTTAAAGGACATTCACATTTATAAGGGAAATCTCCATTCGTAAGGGTGATTCCCACACTGCCAGAACTTGAAAGGCAGAGGATAATTTTTCCTCCCTAACACCAGCTTAGAGCTTTCTGACTTTTGTTCTGTGATAAAAGTAAGTTATTTTTCACTTTAAAATTTTATTTATATTTTACTTCCATCCAAAAACATCTTAACTAATATTTACTCTTAAAATCAATATAGTTTGCCCACATGAACAGACTGATGATTCAAGATGACTTTCAGGCAGTTCATGGTACCTACCTGGTTATTTCTCGATCCAGTTTCTTTGTTGCTATGGAAAAGCAGTCCTCAACCGAAGGTATGAGGCATGATAGTAAGAAGCTAGGGAAATTCCTTGGCAGGTAGAATGGGGAAACTGAGACAGACAGCTGATTTAAACTGGCCTCATCCAGCACCCAGACCCACCTGCCTCCTTCTCCCTTGCACATCCACTCCCTTAAGCATTAAGCCCTGAAGACAGTGAGCTTCTGATCAGCATCAAATCATATTAGGAACAAAGCCTCAGGTCTATTGACAACAGACACAGAGTTTTGGTCAAACTAGAGATAACATCTAGGCCAGCGGTTCTCAACCTGTGGGTCGCGACCCCTTTGGGTGTCAAACGACCCTTTCACAGGGGTCGCCTAAGACCATTGGAAAACACATATTGAATATATAATTACATATTGTTTTTGTAATTAATCACTATGCTTTAATTATGTTCAATTTGTAACAATGAAAATACATCCTGCATATCAGATATTTATATTACGATTCATAACAGTAGCAAAATTACAGTTATGAAGTAGCAACGAAAATAATTTTATGGTTGGGGGTCACCACAACATGAGGAACTGTATTAAAGGGTCTCGGCATTAGGAAGGTTGAAAACCACTGATCTAGGCCTTAGTTGTGTTTCAGCTCCAGGCTCAGAAAAGCAGCAAAACCAGACAAAGTTACACCAAGGCCGACATCAGGACCAGATGCAATGATTAATGACTCCTCTACCTTAGCACCAACCAATCAGTAGAGACCACGACCCAGATTCTGTCAGTTCATTTTGATGAATCAGCATATTAAAAGACACACCTGCAAAGCTGATGAATATTCTATTGAGATTCTCCCTGGAAAACGTCCCTAAAATTCCTGCCTTTAGAAAACGTAACTCTTAAGACAAAGGACCCAGCGCACACTCTCCAGAGCACTCCCTAGCCTTCTTTTTTCAGGTGTGTATCTTTGCATTCTTTCTCCTAAACTCTAAGGGTCCCTATGAGACTTGCAACCAAGAGGGCAGTGGGCAGCAGCAGCTCGTGCTGGGCTAACCCCTGAACCAGTCTCCAAGGGCCCTTCTTTTGCCTCTGTAACTTGTTTCCTGGGTCCACACAGCCCAGATGATTCACTTCTTCTGCTTCTGTGACTTTCTTTCTTTCTTCTTCTTCTTCTTTTTTTTTAAACCTCACCAGCGGATATATTTTTATTGATTTTTGAGAGAGAGAGGAAGGGAGAGAGAGAGAGGAACATCAATATGAGCAACATGGATTGATTGCCTCCTGTATGCACCCCAACCTAACTAGGGATCAAACCTGCAACATGGGTATGTGCCCTGACCAGGAATAAAACTGGCAACCTTTTGGTGTACGAAATTACGCTCTAGCCAACTGAGCCACCTGGCCAGGGCTGTGACTTTCTTTTTAAAGCACCAAGGCAACTCTCCGAGCAGCCCACTTGAATCTTCTCTTCTAGTGTACTTAAGCTTCGCACGCTAAGTAAACTCCCTCTTGTTCACTAGAGCTCTTGGCTCTGATTTTTTTTTTTTTTGCCGAACTCAAGAACTGAGAGCAACATTGCCAGTAACAGGTATACATGTCATTTGTTGAGATTTAAGTCAAATCTAAATAGAACAATGGCTTGTTAAACAATTTATCCTTTGTGACAAAATTCAACCATCCCAACACTAATGCAATCTTTGTCCTTAATACTTCTATAAACATAAGACAGAATGCCTGTGGACATAAAAATGTGTTTCTCAGAAAAATAGACATTTAAAAATCATTGTGGATAGCATCGTTTGTGGAATGTAAAATATGAAAAGACTCCTCACTACTAAGAGCCAAAAGTAGTGATAAGAACTCAAAAAGAAAAACAAAATTGACTTCCATTTTTTTTTGTTTATGCAACTCATTCTCATGTAATCACAACCTATAATAAAAATTGTAAGTATTTAAACCTGAGGTTTTGAGTTCATCTCAGGAACATTGGCAAAAGGAATCTTTTGCATCTATTCTCAGAAAAATTGGCAAAAAACCTACTGTCTCCCATAAACATAACAATTATTTGTTTAGGCAGGAGAATAAAATATGGAAAGGATATTACATTTGTTAGGAAATTGGCTTCAGAGTCAGATCTATCTATTCTGAGGCTATCACTAAATTAATTTGGAGCTCAAATATCAAATCTTGACTAAATTACCTTGTCTGATAGTCTCTCCCTTCTTCTGTTGGGGAGGAAAAATTATCCTCTAGCCTTTGAGTTCTCTGGCAGGACTTATAATCAAATTAATATGAAAAAAATTAGAAGGAGAAAAACATTAAAGTTTAATAACATGCATGCCTCTTGAATATACATAAGAGAGACCCAGGAACACTGAGTAACTTGCCAAAATGGCAGAAGCCACCACCAGAAATACCATCTCCAGCTAAAGACAAAAGACGTTATGGGAGATTACCAGGGAAAGCACAGCAGACAAGGGTAAGATTGTTATTCAGATTTAAGTCCCTGTCTTCTCCTTGATAATGAAGGCAAGCCTGGCACAGAGAGGGAAACTATACAATGGAAATAAATAGTTTTCCTTACAAATGGAAAAGATCTTTACAAAGGGTAACTTGTTTTTCAGACTATCTCCCACCCCTGCTGTTTGTTAAAATTAACCAGCCTAAAATAATGAATATCCCAAAGTGGCATATTTTGGGCTGGCAAAGTCTGCTCCCCTTCACTGTAACTCAAAAGTTATTTTAAAATTAAAAAGTTTATTTAAAACATATACTAGGCTTATGCCCTATATTCTCCTAGTGTGTTCCATTTGCTAGTGACTACAGTCAAAGATCAAACTTGCCTGGCCGGTGTGGCTCAGTGGTTGAGCGTTGACCTATGAACTAGGAGGTCATGGTTCGATTCCCGGTCAGGGCACATGCCGGGTTGTGGGCTCAGTCCCCAGTGTGGGGCTTGCAGGCAGCCGATCAATGATTCTCTCTCATCATTGATGTTTCTATCTCTCTCTCTCCCTCTCCCTTCTCTGAAATCGATAGAAATATATGAAAAAAAAGATCAGAGCACCCTTGTTCATACTTAAACCATCAGGCCCACATTCCAGACAGGAAACAGGAAGGGAGTGGTTGGACCAGAACTTATTCTGATGGCTGGAGAATTGTCCTCTCTTAGCTGAGCACACCGTTGCCTGGGGGGAAAAAAGATAATTCTGTTACTAAGAAAGAAGATAAGAATGGATATTGGGTAGGCAACCAGCAGTGTGCACAGACCTCCACATGACAATGAAAATGAAGTTGAAGCAAAGACAGTATTCCTCTAGGGAACATGAGCATGAAGTTTGTAGTCTGATTAAAACCTGGATTTGATACTACCTCTGCTACTTATTAGCTATAGGGCCTCAGGCAAGCTACTCTCTGAGACCTAATTTTCTCTTGAATAAATGGGGAGGGGAAAAAATGTGCTTAGCAAGGTTACTGTAAAGATTAGCTGAGATAATAAGAGGAGTTTTTAAATTATCTGCTGAAAGGTGATTATTAAAAAATATATTTTTATTGATTTCAGAGAGGAAGGGAAATGGAGAGAGAGAGATGAAACATCAATGATGAGAGAAAATCATAGATTGGCTACCTTCTACACACACCCCACTGGGGACTGAGCCCACAACCTGGGCATGTGCTCTAACTGGGAATTGAACCCTGACCTCTAACGCTCAACCACTGAACCATGCTGGCTGGGCTGAAAGGTGA